CGAATAAAGTCTTCCATTCTACATGAAAATAATTTGAGGTGTTGGGGTGACATGATGCATTTGGCAGTATTCCTATTTCCCTGTTTAAGAACTGTGTAAAAATGTTGAGATAATTGAAAGCCAAAAGCAATGCCTTGTACAAACATACATGTGATTTCCATAAACAAATAACAGAAAACTATACTCAGACTAAATAGAACTATTAGGAACTAAAATTATTGAAATTTTAAGAATTTAAATTGAGTTTACAATAATGATCAACCTCAGCATTATTAAAGGCAAATATAACACTCTAATAATGAAAGATACTAATGCAGCACTATTTACAATTTAAAAAAAGTACAAAGATCCCAGTTGTCTAATAGGGGATGGGTTAAATTCAACTCTGCTCGTATAATAAAATGATATCTAGCCATTAAAAAAGATGAAGTAAATTTCAATATTCACCATGTATAATGATGCCTACAATAGATTGCTAAGAAAAAAAAAAAACTGGGGCTTTGAAAACATTATGCTAAGTTAAAGAAGCCAGAAACGAAAGGCCACATAGTATATGCTTCCATTTATGTGAAATGTCCAGAATAAGCAATTCCAGAGACAGAAAATAGATTAGTGCTTGCCCAGGTTATCTGGGGAGAATTGGGAATTTTAGGGTTTCTTTTTGGGATGATGGAAATATTCTGAAAATAGTGCCGGTGTTTGTACAGAATTGTGAATATACTAAAAACTACTGAATGTACACTTTAAAATGGGTAAGGTATCCATAGGTCTACAAAGGCCACTGGAGGAAAGAGGGAGGGAAAGAGGGTACCTGTATGGTTTGATAAAATGCACACCAATCTATTTGAAGGATGTTGTACGGAGAGTGAAATTTAGGGTGCAATTTCACTTTTTTAGTATTTTTTTTCTTACTATGTTGTTAAGATTTATCCTAAAATTCCGCCCTTGACCTCTAAAAATACTGACGCTCTAGCAGTTGCTCTAACTCCCATTCCCCTTGTTTTTTTCCCAAAAAGCTTATTAACATATAATTTACATTCCATAAAATCCACCCACTTTAGTCTACACTTAAATTTATTTTAGTAAACATATGTGCAACCATCACTACTCACGTATGAATGGAATATATGGTCTTTTGTATCTGGCTTTTTATTTTTGCTTAACATAGTATTTTTGAGGGTCATCCATTTTGAAACAGCTTATCAATAATCTGTTCCTTTTTCTTGCTGTATGAAGGTATTAATTTTTATCATAATGATGGTATAATTGGAAAAGGAAATAAAGATGTTCATACTTGGAAAATTACAATATAAAAGCACTTTTAGGGCCACTGATTGCCTGAAGAAAAGACTCTGTGGAGTCTTCTGATATTATCAAAGACCATGAAACTGAAAACTGTAAGCAAATGTGTCATTAAATTTTACAAAGACACTTTTTAAAAACTATATCTTAACTAGGAAAAAAATAAAAACAACTCTATTGTTTTCTCTATTATAATTTTAGGAGAATCAGAGTAAGCCAACTAGGTAAAAACACACACACACACACACAAAAAACACAAACATAATTTACAAGTTTCTTAAATGTTTCTACTGAGTACTTTGTTTTCTCATTTTTCTTTATTCTTTTGTGTGTTGGCCACAAGTGTTTATATCCTATTGAAAACACCTTAATGCATAATTAATCACTCTGAAAGCTACCAACAGATTCAGTGCTAGTTTCAGAAATAAACCAAATTTATATATGCAAGATAAGCCTAATTAGTGAAGTTCACACACAAAAAAATGCAATATCCGATTTTTAGAACCAAATGTGCTCAAGAAAGTATTTGTGCTTTTAAATTAGGAGAACAGCTCTGTATTTAATTAGCCCTCATTTGAGTATGTAATCACTTTAATTTATTTACACAAACACAGGACATTATGCTCCATCAGCAGATAATGTTCTTCATTAAGGAGAGTAGGAACTTTGTGCACAAGGGCAGAAGAAATATTTTCACCCGCGATGCAAAATCAGAACTAAATACTATCAGATGCCATTCTTCAGTTTCTATAGTAACCATTCTGAGACACATATTTGTTAATAATATAACATACTTTTAAGTACTCTGCCAATCGCTAGAAATCAGCAATTTAAATATTTAATGTTTCATTTTATCTATTGCTCAATTATAAAATAGGTATTTAATTATTAATGAACAAAGTAACTTACTGAAATTCAAGTAATAGTAATGTACAATTTAAACTTCAATCATTCTCATGATGAAGAAGCAGAATTTAAAAAAATCAATTCTTTCCTCATTGGTGGTAAAAAGTAGTAACAGCCTAGATTATAGAAAAAGTGGTGAAGATAGGCTTTATTTAGACTGAAAATAAACAATATCTGCTTGACAAGCTAATGACAGATCATTCTCGTGTATTTATTAAAGGACATGAACCAATTCTTACTGAAGGCATTTCCAGAAAACCTTGATATCTTGTTATTGCCACTCCTTCCCCCAAATCCTAAATACATCCTAAAAAGAAAAGAGACTCTTGTTAACTAATGTGCTATAATTATCTTTGAAAAGGTGTTTGTTTTTGCCTGATTCTAAATGTTTCATTTCTAAAGTTCATGTTTTGAAATAAGCATATTATTAGATAAAAATAAATTGTTTAAGAAATCTTTTATTTCTAAATAAGCTGGAATTTATAAAAACTGATATTAACTAGTAGTTGGAATTTGACATGACATCGCAAAATGAGTCAATTTGTGAGGACAGCTTTAACTTGGGGAATTATTTGGGTAGGCAGCGTTTTTGAAGGCCCACTTGCTTATCTTCAGTAAGCATGTTCATGCCATGTACTATGAGAGGTGCTATATTGTTTTGAAGACTTTTGGGGATAACTTATGAAAGGGCCTTTTGGAACCCCAACTTTTTTTAATATATGTATATATAATATATATATTCTTATATATATTTTCTTTTGTCCCCCTCCCACAGGGCAAGGGAAGCAACTCATCTGAGTCATTACATGAGATGTCTCTATATTAACAGGCTGAATGTGGTCTTCATTCCCATAATTCTTCACGATTGAGTCAGAGTATCCCTGTAGAGCAAGATTCTAACTTTTACAGTTCCCATCTTGTCCAAAGTTTAAGTTCTTGATATGAAGAAAAAACTTTCAGATCGAAGGACTTCTGTTTTGTAGGTAGAAGTACCACAAGCATAATGCACAATTTTAACTATAGGGACAAATGACTTTACTTAGCTTTTGGAGCATACTTGAATTGAAAATTAAGATAGAAAAAATCAAATGCAAATACCAAATGTACACGAACTTAAATTCTACCCCAAATCATGTCATTAGATATTTCTAAAAATTCTCTTTGATAGCCAGTATCCAAGGATAGTATTTTAAGATTTATAGAACTTTGCATTATCTGCATAACTATATCTGGAGAATGTCCTATTCCACAAGCCTAGTCATATAGTTCTTGAAAAACCCCACTAGGAAACAGTATTATAGCAAAGTCATAAATATACATTCACAGTCCTGTATGTAAAATCACCTACATGTCCTTGGCACATAAGCACACATTAACACTAGTGTGTGAGTCATCTTGCCATTCCGCTCACTATCAGAGCTGGAGATATGGTATGTGCAAATCTGTCACCCCCATAGTGATTTGTTACTCAGTGACAATCATGGGTAGCTTTTAGCTATGCTGAGAGTACCTCTCGTGTTTAGATTCCTGTATGCTTTTGGTATAAAATAGGCCCTAAAGCAAGCCAAATACTCTACCTGGTACTTAACTGAAGAAGGAGAAATCTATTCCAATGCTAGACAAAAAAAAAAAAAAAAAAAGCCACGTAGTCCTTTTTGAGACACAGTATATCAGTCTTTAATGTATATATAAATATGGCTACATATATTTTTAATTTAAGAGAGTTTTATAAGAGAAATGTTGGCTGTATATGACTCTTCATGTATCCAAGCAAACTCTAGAACTAAACTCCTGCATCAAATACAACTCTACAGCATAGCTGTTTTGACAGAGCAATAAATATAAATAGTTCTGTACCTTATTATTTTAGAGTAAAATAAGATAACCAACAACAAAAGTCTCTACAGCAATGAGTTATTTTGTTGGGTGGGGGGAGACAATAAATAAGAACAATTTGATCCATTTGGGAATTTAGCTAAAGATTAATGATCTTAAGTCTAACCAAGAGCAAGAGAATTTAATTCCCAAAGTATCATCTACCCTGTTCATTAGAAAGAACGGTATTAACACAAGGCATTAATTACACTTGTCTTAACAAGAACTGTATTTAAAATGAATTGAAAAAGACAAAGATATTATCCAAGGACTACAATAAAAATATTCTAAAGTGATTGAAACCTAGCCAAAACTAATTATTAGCAAGTGTTTCTCTCTCTCTAGAAGATTAAATGAAGAAAATCGTATTTATGTGTGCCAGAGACTAGAAATTATGATCTTCTTGTAAGAAATATATTTTATTTACCTCAACCTCCTTTTATGCTTTGAAATCTTGCTCTAAAAAAAGGACCATTAATATGTCAGTTTGGCATTTCTTTTTATTTGGTCTGAATGTCTCTTCTTTAAAAAAAAAAAAAAAAGGCAACATTTTGCTCCTGATACCTTACCTTTCTTATAACCATAACAGCTTTGTCCAGAATCAGAGGCAGTTTCACTACAAAAAGCCAATGATCAGTTTATAGGATATAGTATTTTCCTGTCTCATGGTCTCTGGCAACAGAGCATGACAACATAAATTAAATATATTTAACACAAGAATATACACGAATATAATGCTGTAACTCAAAATAAATTGCTGCTCATTTAATCCTTTTTTTTTTCCTGATTCTATAGTAAATGACTTCTATTCCTAAAGCTCAGGTTAAATTGGGAGTTAAAATCAGACCCTTGTTAGAAAAAAAAGAGACACAAAGGAAAGTGGTTTAGTAAAAGTAAACTCAACAACACAGTTAAAATTAATTGGGAAAATTTTAATAAGCATCCAAATATACTTTACATCAATAAACCGAAATACTGAAATTGTGAGATTTTAAATATTTTTCTCAAAAAAGGTTAGTGATTTTTTTTTTTCTCTTGGGAAACGTGGAGACCCAACTATGAGCACTGACGTGGCCAGTCCAGGTCACTAACGTTTACTAATTACCTAAACGGGCATTCACATTTCATGTCTACAATAAAGTAGACTGTGAACTTCTTGTATCTCTGAATTTTAGCAAAATCTCTATGAGATAATTGACAGGACATTTTGAAGTGTACACTCAAAGTTCTGCAGTTGGATCACTTTTTTTTGCTTCAAGTGCACCTGACTTAAGGATACAGCCAATTTTCTTTCCTAATTCCTTGGAAAAATATTTCTGCAATAAGTCTTATGTCTACGATGACTGGGTTGTTTTTAAGAAAGATTATCAGCTTTGTGGTTGATATCCCACAGTTGATAAAAATCTATCAAAAACAGTATAATTTGCAAGGAAAAAAGTTGTTTTTCAAAGGCTGAGGAACAGGAAAGAAATTGCATTTCTTATTTATAGAAACACAAACACTTAAAGCTAGTCACACTTCAGGTACATCCAATATAGTATTCAAAAGTTCTATAAAAATGAACAGAAGATAATGTTTACTTCCATTGCTCCAATAGTCAAATGTAAATCTGCATAAGAGTTGCGCTGTAGCAGTTTGCTGGTCCAATTTAAGAGTTCAAGCTCCTTTTTGTGTATTTGGCCCACTGATGTCCACATCCCAGATAAATTCAGTTCAAAAGACGGAAATTAGGGCAAAGACTCCATATAACAAAGCACAAGGATATGCTACTAAAAGTTGCTGTCCTTCCATGGCTAACGCAGAAATAAAAATTTTGGAAGCAGAAAAACTGCACCATCCAATAATCCCAGCAGTGAGAAGGATTCCTACCATTCCTCTGTAACCAACAAGGAAAAAAAAGGGAGGTGGGAAAAAAGTAGTTGAGATTAGTTATGTAAGAACATTTTAAATCCACATGTAGACATATGCAGAAACAAACATGATATTTTTTCAATTGCTAAAATGTACCTCACGGTAAATTTAATGGTGCTTACTTATTTCACGTGATAAAAAAAGTCATTTATAACTACATTTTGCTCTTTTTAAATACATCGTTTCTCAACCTTGGCACCGCTGACATTTGGGCTGGACATATCTTTGTCATGGGGGGATGTGCTGCGCATTGTTAGGATGTTCAGCAGCATCTCTGGCCTCTGCCCATAACATATGAGTAGTACCCTTTCCCTCATAGCTGTGACACCAAAATTACCTCCAGACAGTGCCAAATGTCCCCTTGGAGGTAAAATTATTCCTGGCTGAGGAACTTCATCTTACTAGAAAATAATTTCTGCAAAATTCAAATATATCAATTCTTAACAAATGGGAAGACTTAAGTAGTTTCTACACTGAAAATATGAAATATGTTTATTCAAACGAGGAATACTATAAAGCATCATCTTGCCAACTGTCTAGTATCAGACAAATAAATGATATATGCTCTTCTCCTAAACCTCCATTTGAACCATTTTTTAATTTTTGAGACAGCGTCTCCCTCTGTTGCCCAGGCTAGAATGCAGTGGCATAATCACAGCTCACTCCAACTTCCAACTCCTGGGCTCAAGAGATTACTCTCACCTGGGCTTCCCAAAGTGCTGGAATTTTAGGTGAGTACCAGCATACCTAGCTAATTTTTCTATTCTTTGTAGAAATGAGGTCTCACTGTTGTTCAGGCTGGTTTGGAACTCCTGGCCTCATCTTCCCACATCCACCTCCCAAAGTGCTAGGATTACAGGTGTGAGCACCATGTCCAGCTCCACTTTAACTTTCTAAGTGAAACAAAGCCCTATGATTATTGGGTGCAGCGCTAGCCACAAGGAGGAGCTTGTACCATTGAAAGAGATTACACTGGCCATAAAGAGAAACTATATCAGCTGTAATTTACACTTTTTAAAAAACCTAATCTATCATTTATAAATTACACATATTTAAAGCACCTTACAAGAACATCTGAGGACATGGTAGGCTAGTAACAGTCTTTGTCATAAAAAGAATATGTTTCATTTTCAGTTAAAAAGCTACCAAATAGAGAGTATTTGTTATTCATACATGTGGGATATGCCTAATGGTTTCAAGAAATTAGACATGATCTACAAAAAATCAAAGGGTAAGCATAATTTTAATACTCTAATGATTTGAACTTTTTAATGTGATATTTAAATTAACTATCACCACTGATCAATTTGTTACCACTAGGATACTGATAAATAAACACAAAACTAGTGAAATTCTTGATCATGAGTAAAAGCAAGAGATGGTATAAAAGATTAAAAATTTGTTCTCATTTCTACTGTTCATCACCCAAAAACATGTACCACAGTTCTTACCTACAAGAGGCACTATCTCACATGATTGCTGAATCAGTGATTTGTCTCAAACTGAAGATGAGGTGAATCCTATTATACAGAATTGGTCAATCAAAACCCAAAATAAAGATCAGTACTTACTGCAAAGAAAATATCACTGCAAAGCTGGAAAGTAGGATCATGGGAAGAAGACAATATCCAAGGACGCTTGCCACACAACCAAATGAAACACCCGTCATACTCATTAAGTTCAATAAACAAAACATTCCTAGACATCCAATTGCACTGATCCCGTATACATAGCCAAACTGGATTTTGCCAGCCTGTGGATAAAGAAAAGATTACAGGTTAAAGGTCAAAAAATCAGTTATTTTGGGCCTTATTTCACCTAAAATGGTACATTATAGAAGATAAAATTCAGGAGCCTCAAAATCTACATAGGTATCTATACATTAAGCAGAGAAGTAAATATTGAGCAGACTAGTTTTTTACATTCTTATTAACTTTAAAGTACACAGGTATTTTGAGGACACCTGGCAAGAGGAATATAATGGAAGATATTTCTTTCTTTCATCATTTTCCCTAATTGTAGATTTATATAGTCCTTAGATAAAGCAAACAAACAGAAAAACCTTAAAAATTCTACTCTTGTAAAAGACATCAATAAACAGTTTTAGGACAGCAAAGACTGGCTAAATTGGAACCACCTTACTATTAGTCAAGCTTTGTGAACAAGCATTGTATTCAATTCACACTATCACTAAAACCAGCCTACAGAGAAGCCTTCGAAAAGTTCCTGATTTGTCTGAATTTTGTCATGTAAAACTCAATCACAAGAATGTCTCTGTAGATTATGTTAAGTAAAAAAAATCCTGGGGATTTTTGTTAGATTCACTAATTATTTGTTAAGACATGATTAAGAGTGCAGAAGTTTCAAAAAGCTCAGCTGAGTTCACTGACGAATTCATGAATTCACTCATGTAGTAATAATAAAACCTCATACTTGCAGTGTTTTTAACTTTTGAATGTATTCTCACATAACCTGTCTTCTGTTATCTTCAAAACAATACTGTTAGTACAGGATTATTATCTATCAGAGGGAGCTGAAAAATTAAACGACTTGGTCAAACGCAAAATAGGAACACTGAGTTCAAGCCCAGCTCCTCTGACTAAATATCCCATTTTCTATCCATTATTTCTTTCTTATAATTCAGAGGCAAAGATAGAATGAAACAAATATTAACAATTATTTTTGCAATTTTTCTTTTTGTTTTCAATATGCTGTAATATTCTTGAAAAGGTGAGAGGAAAAATAATATATAGGAAAGTAATCATCAGTATGACTACAATAAAACATTAACCAAGGTATAGAGATTTAAAAAAAATGCTATCATTTAAAAAAAAAAGAGCAATCGGGTAAAAGTTTTTGTCAATCTCTGATAAGTAAGAAGGAATTCTGATGAGGGACTGAAGCCATGTATGTTATTTATTTATTTATGTTTGTTTTATTCCTAATAATTACATTACTTTTTGCCATAAGAGATGAATTTTAAATACACTATGCTTACTACTGACAGAGAAGTGATGAAGAGGTATATACAAAAGCAAGTCAGTACTATTCAAAACAAATGGAAGACTTGAGGCATAAGTAGAATTTCAAAAATGACTTTTAGTGGAACATTTAAAGGTTGTTTAATCTCACACTGAGAGCTGAAACTAAAATCTTACCAGTAACAATGTAGCTCCAAAAGCAAGGCAAAAAACCATTGGTCCTGCCAAATCAGTCTCATTCATAATGCTGCCATCTGCCACTTTTAATGGATGTAGCACTGTTAGTGTTTTTTGCCAGATGTGGTCAAAATTGATACCTAACTCTAAGGGAAAGGAAAAAAAAGTTAATTAGGATTTGAAATATACCTTTAATTTAGCAGAATCTATTATGTGTTGGAACAGGAGACAAAATGATATATCTAGCATCAAAAAAGGATCTAGTAACCAGATGATATTATTTTAGTGAGTTCTCGATACCAGTCTTCACTGCTTGTGGTGCTTATCCTACAAATAGTTTCTAGTTTGTTGTTGGAAAAGGGTATGAGTATAATAAAGCAGATGCAAAGAACATCTGAATAGGGTTAATAGTAAGGGGTTCTTTTCCTGGGACTTCAAGAATAACTGAGGGCCCATGAAATTGTTTACAAAACTATGTCTCTCTATATATGTCTGCATTTTTCTGAGGAGAGTATTCACAGCTTTCATTAGACTTTCAAAGGGTATATAGTGCCCCCCCCCCCAAAAAAAAAGTTCAGAACTACTGCTTTATAGGCTTTGGAATACAATTTGAAAACCACCATATTTTTCAGTGATTTCACTAGTTGTACCAGTTTATTTCCATGTAGAATAACAGACACCCTGCTACGTCCTTTTACTTCTTCCACTAATAGAATTTAATTAGTCGGTTAAAGTCGATCTCACACAACATACTTCATTATCATTTTATCTGTTAAAAATCTGGTCCCCTAGGGCCCAATGTAATTTCAAATACACTCTGTTGAAAATGAGTTATTTGGTAGAAAATTTATTTCTATAAGATTATTCTTTTAAAGGAAAAAAAACAACAGCTCCAAATTAAGATTTATTTTCATCTTCTTTAAAAAAAAAAAAAAAAAAAAGCAACATTTTGCTCCTGATACCTTACCTTTCTTATAACCATAACAGCTTTGTCCAGAATCAGAGGCAGTTTCACTAAAAAAGCCAATGATCAGTTTATAGGATAATAGTATTTTCCTGTCTCATGGTCTCTGGCAACAGAGCATGACAACATAAATTAATATATTTAACACAAAATATACACGAATATAATGCTGTACTCAAAATAAATTGCTGCTCATTTAATCTTTTTTTTCTGATTCTATAGTAAATGACTTCTATTTCTAAAGCTCAGGTTAAATTGGGAGTTAAAATCAGACCTTGTTAGAAAAAAAAGAGACACAAAGGAAAGTGTTTAGTAAAAGTAAACTCAACAACACAGTTAAAATTAATTGGGAAAATTTTAATAAGCATCCAAATATACTTTACATCAATAAACCGAAATACTGAAATTGTGAGATTTAAATATTTTTCTCAGAAAAGGTTAGTGATTTTTTTTTTCTCTTGGAAACGTGGAGACCCAACTATGAGCACTGACGTGGCCAGTCCAGGTCATTAACGTTTACTAATTACCTAAACGGGCATTCACATTTCATGTCTACAATAAAGTAGACTGTGAACTTCTTGTATCTCTGAATTTTAGCAAAATCTCTATGAGATAATTGACAGGACATTTTGAAGTGCACCTCAAAGTTCTGCAGTTGGATCACTTTTTTTTGCTTCAAGTGCACTGACTTAAGGATACAGCCAATTTTCTTTCCTAATTCCTTGGAAAAATATTTCTGCAATAAGTCTTATGTCTACGATGACTGGGTTGTTTTTAAGAAAGATTATCAGCTTTGTGGTTGATATCCCACAGTTGATAAAAATCTATCAAAAACAGTATAATTTGCAAGGAAAAAGTTGTTTTCAAAGGCTGAGGAACGGAAAGAAATTGCATTTCTTATTTATAGAAACACAAACACTTAAAGCTAGTCACACTTCAGGTACATCCAATATAGTATTCAAAAGTTCTATAAAAATGAACAGAAGATAATGTTTACTTCCATTGCTCCAATAGTCAAATGTAAATCTGCATAAGAGTTGCGCTGTAGCAGTTTGCTGGTCCAATTTAAGAGTTCAAGCTCCTTTTTGTGTATTTGGCCACTGATGTCCACATCCCAGATAAATTCAGTTCAAAAGACGGAAATTAGGGCAAAGACTCCATATAACAAAGCACAAGGATATGCTACTAAAAGTTGCTGTCCTTCCATGCTAACGCAGAAATAAAATTTTGGAAGCAGAAAAACTGCACCATCCAATAATCCAGCAGTGAGAAGGATTCCTACCATTCCTCTGTAACCAACAAGGAAAAAAAGGGAGTGGGAAAAAAGTAGTTGAGATTAGTTATGTAAGAACATTTTAAATCCACATGTAGACATATGCAGAAACAAACATGATATTTTTCAATTGCTAAAATGTACCTCACGTAAATTTAATGGTGCTTACTTATTTCACGTGATAAAAAAAGTCATTTATAACTACATTTTGCTCTTTTAAATACATCATTTCTCAACCTTGGCACCGCTGACATTTGGCTGGACATATCTTTGTCATGGGGGATGTGCTGCGCATGTTAGGATGTTCAGCAGCATTCCTGGCCTCTGCCCATAACATATGAGTAGTACCCTTTCCCTCATAGCTGTGACACCAAAATTACCTCCAGACAGTGCCAAATGTCCCCTTGGAGGTAAAATTATTCCTGGCTGAGGAACTTCATCTTACTAGAAAATAATTTCTGCAAAATTCAAATATATCAATTCTTAACAATGGAAGACTTAAGTAGTTTCTACACTGAAAATATGAATATGTTTATTCAAACGAGGAATACTATAACATCATCTTGCCAACTGTCTAGTATCAGACAATAAATGATATATGCTCTTCTCCTAAACCTCCATTTGAACCATTTTTTAATTTTTGAGACAGCGTCTCCCTCTGTTGCCAGGCTAGAATGCAGTGGCATAATCACAGCTCACTCCAACTTCCAACTCCTGGCTCAAGAGATTACTCTCACCTGGCTTCCAAAGTGCTGGAATTTTAGTGAGTACCAGCATACCTAGCTAATTTTTCTATTCTTTGTAGAAATGAGGTCTCACTGTTGCTCAGGCTGGTTTGGAACTCCTGGCCTCATCTTCCACATCCACCTCCCAAAGTGCTAGGATTACAGGTGTGAGCACCATGTCCAGCTCCCTTTAACTTTCTAAGTGAAACAAAGCCCTATGATTATTGGGTGCAGCGCTAGCCACAAGGAGGAGCTTGTACCATTGAAAGAGATTACACTGCCATAAAGAGAACTATATCAGCTGTAATTTACACTTTTTAAAAAACCTAATCTATCATTTATAAATTACACATATTTAAAGCACTTACAAGAACATCTGAGGACATGGTAGCTAGTAATAGTCTTTGTCATAAAAAGAATATGTTTCATTTTCAGTTAAAAAGCTACCAAATAGAGAGTATTTGTTATTCATACATGTGGGATATGCCTAATGGTTTCAAGAAATTAGACATGATCTACAAAAATCAAAGGGTAAGCATAATTTTAATACTCTAATGATTTGAACTTTTTAATGTGATATTTAAATTAACTATCACCACTGATCAATTTGTTACCACTAGGATACTGATAAATAAACACAAAACTAGTGAAATTCTTGATCATGAGTAAAAGCAAGAGATGGTATAAAAGATTAAAATTTGTTCTCATTTCTACTGTTCATCACCCAAAAACATGTACCACAGTTCTTACCTACAAGAGGCACTATCTCACATGTTTGCTGAATCAGTGATTTGTCTCAAACTGAAGATGAGGTGAATCCTATTATACAGAATTGGTCAATCAAAACCCAAAATAAAGATCAGTAACTTACTATATATATATTTTTTCTTTTGTCCCCCTCCCACAGGGCAAGGGAAGCAACTCATCTGAGTCATTACATGAGATGTGCTCTATATAACAGGCTGAATGTGGTCTTCATTTCCCATAATTCTTCACGATTGAGTCAGAGTATCCCTGTAGAGCAAGATTCTAACTTTTACAGTTCCCATCTTGTCCAAAGTTTTAAGTTCTTGATATGAAGAAAAAACTTTCAGATCAGAAGGACTTCTGTTTTTGTAGGTAATAAGTACCACAAGCATAATCGCACAATTTTAACTATAGGGACAAATGACTTTACTTAGCTTTGGAGCACACTTGAATTGAAAAATTAAGATTAGAAAATACAAATGTGCAAAATACCAAATGTACAGAACTTAAATTCTACCCCAAATCATGTCATTAGATATTTCTAAAAATTCTCTTTGATAGCCAGTATCCAAGGATAGTATTTTAAGATTTATAGAACTTTGCATTATCTGCATAACTGTATCTGGAGAATGTCCTATTTCCACAAGCCTAGTCATATAGTTCTTGAAAACACCCACTAGGAAACAGTATTATAGCAAAGTCATAAAATATACATTCACAGTCCTGTATGTAAAATCACCTACATGTCCTTGGCACATAAGCACACATTAACACTAGTGTGTGAGTCATCTTGCCATTCCGCTCACTATCAGAGCTGGAGATATGGTATGTGCAAATGTGTCACCCCCACAGTGAGTTTTGGTTACTCAGTGACAATCACTGGGTAGCTTTTAGCTATGCTGAGAGTACCTCTCGTGTTTAGATTCCTGTATGCTTTTGGTATACAATAGGCCCTAAAGCAAGCCAAATACTCTACCTGGTACTTAACTGAAGAAGGAGAAATCTATTCCAATGCTAGACAAAAAAAAAAAAAAAAAGCCACGTAGTCCTTTTTGAGACACAGTATATCAGTCTTTAATGTATATATAAATATGGCTACATATATTTTTAATTTAAGAGTTTTATAAGAGAAATGTTGGCTGTATATGACTCTTCATGTATCCAAGCAAACTCTAGAACTAAACTCCTGCATCAAATACAACTCTACAGCATAGCTGTTTTGACAGAGCAATAAATATAAAATAGTTCTGTACCTTATTATTTTAGAGATAAATAAAAGATAACCAACAACAAAAGTCTCTACAGCAATGAGTTATTTTGTTGGGGGTGGGGGAGACAATAAATAAGGAAACAATTTGATCCATTTGGGGAATTTAGCTAAAGATTAATGATCTTAAGTCTAACCAAGAGCAAGAGAATTTAATTCCCAAAGTATCA